GTGTGTCTGGAATATTTTTCTCTCTTTCTTATCTATCAGAATTGGGCTGGGGGAGCCTCAGCAGTAACCACGTGCCCAGGCTTCTTGGAAATGCATTACCTGTGAAGATGCTTGCATATCTGACAATGGGGATGAGCTAGGAGCCTGTGCACTTGAAGATGGCTGCCGCCAGGGGGCACTGAAAACCGTAGGTTTTAGCATGCGAGGCAAATGTAGATGGCATCTTCCTCCTCAAATGGTAACTTGGAATTAAAGCCTGAGGGCATGACAGACTTGGCCATGTGGGAGGGACCTGCATGAGACCTGTGCTACGTGCCAACTGGAGAAGGCACGTGCCACCTGGAGAAGGCAGGCTTTGCATTGAAGCTGACTCCTTCGGAGGCTATAAGACCTCAGTTGCATATAAACAAAACCAGGAGAGAACCCTCATCCCCCTGCTCTGCAGTGTGTGTGTGTGTATCATAATCATGCTTTTTATGACCCAGTAGCATGGGCTTAAGCACACCTCCCAAGGTGCAACTAAGGCACGTTAAAACAATGTGCAGGTCAGTCTCTGGCTATCTGGCACATAGGAAAGTTCGGAGCCCGAGATCTTGGTTGTGCCGTGCTAATCAACCATAGAACTGAGAAGGAAAGGATCGTCCAAATAGCTTTCCCTGGACTCTGTAGACATACACTAGCACTCCCTACAGGTGCGCAGTACCACCTCGTCTCAAGGAAAATAAAAGGCTTTTCCTGATCTTACAGTTTTAACAGAGTGGTTGGATTGTTACAGAAACCCAGAGCCATTGTCGCAGGACGCGAATCGCCATGATGCTACCTACAGCCGTGGACTGGACAGATTTGCTGGGTCTGCTGTGGATCTAGCCCCTTCCCTGGGCCAGCCTCAGTGCCCCAGACTGCGCAGTGGGACCAGGGGCTTAGGGCCTCCCCAATGGGCCACTGTTGGCATCCGTGGAAATGCTCCATCCTGGACCAGGGCCAACATCCTTTTCAACCGTTTTTTGGTTGCGGCAGCCACTCCTCTCCAAGCTCAGCCTGCCAATCCAGTGACTCGGCCCGGTGGGGATGCTCTGAGAGGCAGCCCACCAAGGTGCTGAGCGCCGTGGGTGTGGCCTGCTGAGCCGTCAGCCCATGCTGCAATTATTTTCGTAGACAATGACAAAAAGAAAAAAGTCCCACCTCCCTGCTCCTCTCAGCCAATCAGCACCTGGTCCGCGTGCTGCCAGGCTGGAGCCGGGATGCTGCCTTGATGTCTCTCAATAGCGCCTGGCTCTCATGCCAACAGGGTGCTGCCTTTCTGCCTCAGAAGCCTTCCTTTTTCTACACTCAGCCAAGCCTGATGCCTGCTCATAATGGGGATTTTCATGCTGGGTCCTTTTGGAAAGTACTTTTTTATAACGTTCTTTGGGGTGGGGGTGGGGGGAGAAGAGAGATTTTTCTGATAAGGGAGCTGGGGGAAGAGGGGGAGGGCGGCTGGGGGAAGAGGGGTGAAGGCACTGTTTATTTTGATGTTGTGGGTTTTTTTAAAAAAAATATTTGACCACTGCTGAAGGATGTTCTAATTTAAAAGAGATGGAAAGCCCCTTAGGGGGCTACATCTTTAGATTCGTAGCAATGTTCAGTCTCATTAGCCGGGGCGCAAGATACGATGCGCTTGAACTGACTTGGTCGAGGTTTGCACAATGAGGAGTTAATTGAGACTTGACCATTGCTATGGTCTGGCTTGTCAAAGGATATGGTTCCCAAAAACACACCCCAAGGCTTCTGTGTCCGTCGCCTCTAGGAATCTTGGCCATTGCCGCCAGGCCTTTTGAGTGGCCTCTGTCCTTGCCAATTCCTATCCTTTTCTTGGAATGTTTTAACATGGATGTGATTCTCATGAACCTGTGTGATGTCAGCCTGGCACTTTAGCAGCAGCCGCCCACAACGCTAAGCAGACAAGGGGGCTCCGTTCCAGCCTCTTTAATACATGGATTAGCCAGAGAGAGGCTTGCTTCCAACCAGTGTCCCCGGTAAGCCCATTTAAGTGAAAGGAGAAACTGGTGTTTCCTTCACTTCTCTATCCAAAACAATAGTATCTGACTAATTTCCACCTGCAAGTCTATGCTGTCTTTGACATCCAGCCCCACTTGGGACAACTTGTTCTCATATCTAAAGCAAAGTGGAGACCTGTATTGAAATAAGGGTGGTCCAGACAGGCAAGGGCCCACAGTTCCCCTTGTGTGATGCTATCTGATGGGTATTCCAGCACTAAACACAGATCAAGCAATCTCTGGACTTCCTGTCTCCTCCCGTAGGTGACCGAGGCTTCTGAGCACAGGGAACTGGGTGCAGCCCTTGGTCCTTGCTGGTCTACCAAATCATCTAGAACAAAAGCTGCATGTGCTGATCAACTTTAGACACACGGAACAATCAGAACCAATTCAGAAATGGACTAGGAGAGGCAACAAGAGGAGCTTACCCTCTCAGACTTTGCATTGCTAACTCCAAGCGAGAGCAAGCAACGTCCCGGATCTCTAGACTCCAGTGAAGTATCTGCAGAAGTCGAGGAATACCTTCTGTGGTGCTGAATTATGGCTTGGAGGGAGGACCAACAGTTACTGTTACCATGTCTTCCATAACACCGCCCCCTCCCACAGGAAAAGCTGGACGCATCTCTTCCTGCCAGCATTTGCCAAATATTTTCTCTTTCAAGGTTGCACGACAAGCAGCTAGCTAGCAGGTGCAGCCATTCCTATTACTGAAGCTGCGTGCTAGGAGAAGCTTCACCTGCTACCTTTTTCGCTTGCCATGAGACCAGGAAAGACACAGGAGTTGTACTAGGGGGGAGCTTCCAACCTGCTCCCCACCCCAATCCCTACAGTACCTCTAACCTAAGGTTTTAGTCTGCAACCCCCCGCACAGAATAGTCTACCGTACCTTCCTATGCAAGCTCTTTCTCACGTGGAGAAAGCGCTAACTGAACAGATCTGAAAAGCAGTATTGAGGAAAGAATTATTCAGCACAAGCTCTCTCGAAGCAGCTGTTAACTTCTAGAACAAACTGTCTTCTGCCCCGTTACTCTGTCCAAGACGGGGCAGAATTGGAGCGGCGAGGGCATGTCCCTCCATTTGTGACCAAGTGTTAATGAAACCTTTAAAAGCACCAGAGATTGAGGAGGCAGCAGCTCCTAGACGAAGCACCATGCAAGAACTCGGCTTCTGCTCCATTACTGCAATTTGCAAAATCTTTTTGAGTCTTAAACCTGCCGTCCACAGAGAAGCAGTTTCGCCCATCGATAGAATTTATGTGTTTGGCGTGTCTGCATTTTAATTTATTTTTTTTACTGTTATCTTTTTGATGTGTATTCTTCTATTTACTGGCAACTATCTGCCTGCTGCTGTGCCATCCTAGGGGAAGGGCTGGGACAAATTAGAGAGTCAAGGGGGGGTGAGAGGGGGTGGAGAGAATACCACCACCAAAGTCCTTCGAACCAGAAGTGTTAAGTTAAAAGGTATGTGAAGTCGGGAAACGTCAAGGGAAGTGCATGGAGAAGCAGCCTACTCCTGGTGAATCATCTTAAGCTGCATCCTATAGAAGGCACAGCCCGCCACATGGATCTTCCACCTGGGAGGTTAGGTAGATCGGCTGACCCCGTGGCACTCAGTCAGGGAGGAATGGGGAACCAGTGACTCTACAGATGCCACTGGACTCTGCCTCATCCCTTACCATTGGCCATGCTGGCTGGGGCTGGTGGGAGCTGGAGCCCAACAACATCCCTGTTCCTGCACTAAACGGACCATATAATAGGAGTCGAGAGTCTGAATGAACTGGCACCTGCAGTGAAGTTGCATTTGCTGCAGACTTTGGCTCTGCTCCTTTGCACAGCTCACCACATCCTTCACTTCACAGCCACCACCGTCCCCACCTGAGCACATGTCCTTGTGGACTCAGTGTGTCAATATTAGCTCCAAAGCAGCCGACTTGTCAATCCACCACCTTCCTCTGCAATAGCCAATGGGGTCATTTTCAGCAGAGCTCAACCAGAGACAGATACAGTTGCCTCCTTTTGCTGGTAGGGCACCAGTGCCTTGGATTGCTGCACGACAGACAGCAATTCAACAGACTTCTTTTCTGTTATTGTATCTTCAGGCTGGAAGAAGGGAATGCTACACCTTTTGGATTTCTGCCTGCCAGGTAGCTATTGAAGGTGCTGAAGTGTTACCAGGAAAGAATGGCAACTCTACTTTTCCCTAAGAAGCCTAGCTCTTCTCCCTTTTAGCAAGCCAGGGTGTAGGGGGGAGATCAGAGGGGGAAAATGTGGTGGTTTCACCTTTTGGAGGAACAAAATGTTTTTAACGACTGCTGTGATGCTGGCTCTTCCCTGGAAACAAAATAGTTGAAGTGTACAGGTAGGGTTGTTAATGTAAATACTGTAGGGTTCATTCCCCTTACCTACTAAACAATAAAACCATAGTTCTGTGCAGGTGACTTCATTTCAGTTCCACACCCACACCTTGTGCTAGAGAATTGTGTGTTGGGGAAAACCAATAAGCAAGATTTGGCAGAGCTGAAGCTCTTGAGTTTTCTCACTGCTTGGGTGAATGGGGAGGAGGCAGACCAATACTGGTCTAATCTTCTGGAAGGAAAAGCTGCAACACACTTTAAATATTGGGAAGCCATTGCCAAGCTCTGATGCTAGCATGACCACTGGTAATTCGCAAGAAATTCTTCAGCTCCTTGAAAACACAGCAGGTTCCTTAACTGAGCCAGTTTGTCCAGTAGGCTCCATCTGCAAAACCCACCAGTTCCAGGAAAGGCTGTATGGAGGTTCATCCATACACTCACACCCAGAGGAAGGAGGCAGCTGTTGTTACCTAGACAACAATATTATACATTCTCACCTCCCAGCACATTGCTTGACTAAGGCGGTAATAGATTTTCTGTTCCATTACTTGTGTCTCAGATCCACACATTAGTCTGATAGCTGTTCACATTACAGTATTCCATGTTCAGACTAGGTTTCCTCATTGGTTTTATTTTTAAAAAGCTTATTTTGTTTTATTAGAAAAGTATATATTTTAACAAACATAAGCACAGTACAGACAGACATACCTAATCATATAGCAGAGGTTCTACAAGGCTGACCTGTAGTCCCTCCAGGTAATCGTTTTGGCTCCCAATTCCCACCAGCCCTCAGCCAGTGATCATGGAGGTGTGGTTCTCTCTGTCAGCAAAGCCTTGGCAAAGTCTCCCAGGCTGCAGCTCCTCCTTCACCATGCAAGTTTGGGCCATACGTTAAAAGCACCCAGGAATGTCGTTAAAAGGGAAAGAGCAGGCAATGCTCCGTGGTTTCACACTCATCCAGCCCCAGATCTGTTCACTGCAAGGCTGAAACATAACAAAAAACAAAAACATGAACCCAGGCCCTGACAGTGATGGAGGAGATCTATGGTAGAAGCCCAGCAGGTATAAGCAGCCTCTGAAAAGAGCCTCACCTCGACTTGCCAGAGGTTGCCTTCTTGGGCAGTCGCAGCCTGCTGTTCTGGGAAGTGCCAGAAGGGACTGTCTGTTGAGATGCAGGCGCTTTAAGGGGGGAGAGAAATTCAAGAGATCGACATGTAGGAGGTCAGAACAACTGTGATGCTTTGGAAAAGGCCCATGTCCCAATAGTAGAACTACTGCATGCAAAAGGTCCCAGGTTGAATCTCCAGCATCTACTGGTAGGACTGGGAAGGACCTCTGTCTGAAACTCATCCCCAGTGCAGGCGGTTCTGAGTTAAATGGGCCAATAGGCAGTTCCTAAAAGAAGTGGGACGCGGGTGGCACTGTGGGTTAAACCACAGAGCCTAGGACTTGCCGATCAGAAGGTCGGCGGTTCAAATCCCCGTGACGGGGTGAGCTCCCATTGTTTGGTCCCTGCTCCTGCCAACCTACCAGTTTGAAAGCACGTCAAAGTGCAAGTAGATAAATAGGTACCGCTCTGGCGGGAAAGTAAATGGCGTTTCCGTGCGCTCCTCTGGTTCACCAGAAGCGGCTTAGTCATGCTGGCCACATGACCTGGAAGCTGTACGCCAGCTCCCTCGGCCAATAAAGCGAGATGAGCGCCGCAACCCCAGAGTCGGCCACAACTGGACCCAATGGTCAGGGGTCCCTTTACCTTTACCTTTTGAAAGAAGTGTGCACTTGCCAGGACAATTTTAGTTCAGCCATTTCACTCTGTGTTTCCCGGCTTGGTTTGGGGGTTTGTTCATGGTTTCCAGGGATGGAAACGGCTTGGAACAAAGTTGGAAATTGCAGCTGAAGTTGTTTAGTTGAAACCTGAATGATCTGAAGGTGTGTACACACCCACACACCAAGTGATGGCACCTTGAGAGCCAGTCATAAATAAATATGCAAATAATGGGAGGAAGGGAACACAGTCCAGAGGCAGAGCAGTGTACTGATGCAGGTCATGCTAATGGACCTATATCCGATTGAGCACCAGCATTTGCTCCACAGGAGTCCAGCCATATCATTCACAGCTGAGGGACGCTTGGGTGTCCTGTCTTCCTAGAAGCACCTTTGCAAACAGGACCACTAGGAAAGGGCCACAGCAGAGCATCTACCTTGCATGCAGGCTGCCCCAGGTTCAATCCCTGTCACATCCAGGTAGCCTTGGGAAAGATGCCTGGAATCCTAGAGAGCTGCTTCCATTCACTCTAGGCTGTACTGAGGTAGAAGGACCAGCAGTCTGACTACATAAGGCAGGTTCCTATGTTCCCACCAGCTTCCTTCAAAACCCTCTCAGTGTTTTCTTCCCTTTCTTCCCAGAAGATCCTTCCTGCCAGATCCCACTCCCAAACCCAGCAACTTAAGCTGCCTGGGTCATTCTGGAACTGCATGCTTACTGTTAGAGTTTAACACCGGCAGTCTGCTTGCCAGCCCAGACTTGGCCGTGTTCCTGGTTCGAATCTCACGACAACTGCTGTGAGGCTTGTAGCTGGCCTGCAATTGTGGGGTGCTGCCACCCATACTTGTCACCTGACCTGCAGAGAAAAAAAGAAAGCAGGCATAAACAGATATGTTGATAAGGAGCGACCAGCAGAGGTTGGGCACTTAGCAGTTGTGGGAGAAGAGACAGAAGCTGTCTTACGGCACACATAGATTTTCTGAACAAGCATGAAACAAAAGTCAGACAGTTTTCACAGCAGGGGCAAACAAGCTATGAGAGCCCTCTAAGAATCTGCACAGGGACCAAACCACACATTTCCAAGTAAGTTAAATAGTATCTTCTGCTGCAGACATGAAGCCTTCAAGACCAGACGTTTAAGTACTAAGCACCTGGTAAATAATGGGTGTGCCAGGTTAAGAACTGAATTTTATAATTTTACCGCACGTTCCTATACATATATACTCAGAAGTCAGTCCTATTGGGCCTCATTCAAGTGACGAAGTTCCACTAGGAGAAGCTAAAACAACAGGGTTCCCCCCTGTGCCTCCCAAAATTGGCTGGCAGCTTTGGGGAAACCCCAGAACCGCACATGGTGGGGGCGGACCATTCTGCCCAGCAAGCTGAAAAGCTTGCGCTGGCAAAATTATTGCCATAGCACTACTTTGAATCAAATTCCTTCCAATGGGTTCAATGGGACTTACTGCCAGGTAAGCTCAGTCTGCATCAGCAAGGCAACTCTTACGCCCAATTCTGTGCTCTGGTGTCTTCATACTGGGCACTGACCTTTCATGGGAGTGGGAGGGAGAAGAAGACTAAATCCAAATGATGCACCGTCTACCACAACTTACTTGCATTTGCCTTTGGGAGATGCGCCACCTTTTCTGGAGCAACAGAGGCCTTCTTCACAGGACCAGTCTTCAGCGGATCCAGCCTGGGGCCCAGCCTTGCTTTTGCATATGGTACTGGTTTTTTACCTTTGCTAGGTGGATCCTGAAGGCCAAGCTAATGCAGCAAGATTTTTAAAAGAAGAGCAAGCTATGTCAAAAGCAGCCACCACTATGGTTATTTCTCCCTAGTCAAGTGGGGAGAATGCAAAAAAGCAACTATCTCTTGGAAATGGCTGCTTAACATTAACAGCAGTTGCACTGGAGTACATCAGGCCTCGCTGCAATGGCTGCATGTGTGTGGACAAACTGAGTTGCACAAGTAACATGCAGGAGTTCCATTTCCAGAATGTACATTCACATTAACAAAGGTAAACAGTGCTAGGCACGCCTGTAGAGGTTAGTTTAGGGAACCTATATTCTGCATACTGTTAAAGAACATAAGAACCCTCCTAGATGAGGCCAATGGCCACCTAGTCCAGCATCCTGCTCTCATCACAGCCAACTTGTGGGAAGACACAAAGCAGGACCTGAGCACAACAGCGCCCTCCCTGCCTGCGATTCCCAACCACCGACATGCAGAGACCAGTGTTTGAAACTCCCATTGTTCCAGGCGCATTTTGCGACAGGGAATTTCATTAGCGTGATCAGTTTCTGAGCTCTGGGTGCAGTACCACGCCTAAGATTTCAGATTAAAACTGCAGAGTAGAAGGAGAGAAGGACCTTTTTCTACCTCCCCACTTCCAGGTACTCTCTGAAGACTGGAGAAGAGACCCTCTCAAGAATATTAGGGGGGTGGGCAGGGGAAGGACTAGAGCATGTGAAAAATGAACTCTGGCTGCAGTTCATTCATTTTCAGCTTTGTATTCTTGTTATAAAAAAGCACGCCTAGACATTCCGTTGTTGCGCCCCTAACCTAGATTTAAGGAGCCATTTTGCTCCTAGCTTTCATATCTCAGTTTCATTGGAGGTGGAATCCTAGCCATTGTGGTTAGCAGCCATTAACAGTCCCACCCCTCCACTAATCCAAGCAGGTGGTGATCACTACCTCGTGTGGGAGTGAATAGCTCAACTATGCACAGTGTGAAGAAGTGCTCTGTCCTGAATATTTTTGCACTGAAAGATATGCCTAATTCTACCCTGCCTGCTGTGTGTGCCCCTCCTTGGTACCGCCCATCAGAAATACCTGGGATCCCTCCGAAGAAGAGGCCTTGCCAGAAGATTTCTCTGTTTCCCTCCAAGGTCCCTGCCTGTTGGTTTGAAGGGGAGGCCTCAGACTTGGCAGGGGCTTCTTATTCTGCGTGGGAAGGGTGGGTGGAGTTGATCTTTCCTTCCTGCTGGACCTGGTAATTGTCTGCGACAAAAGACACAAGAAACAGGCTGGAGCTTTGGAAAAGAAGTGGGAACAAGCTAGACACCTCTGAGAAGGACAACTTGGAACCCTGGAGCCTTCTGCGTGAAGGTGCCCTTTTACATTCCCCTGGGCCCAGTCTGTTTCTCAGCCCTGGGAAATTACTCAACAGAACGTGGGTTGGAGATCAGATTCAAGAGAAGATCCCCCATCAAATGCAAGTGTAAACAGCATGATTCATAGGGCATTTGCAGCTACAGAAACTGACTGTGTGTCTTATTAGAAACAAGTCCCATTTAGTTCAGTAGGATTATGCCAAGCTAAGTGGGCACAGAGTTGCAGACTGAGTCACAGCTAAGAGTAATTGGCACATGCAAGCTCAGGAAGGGAATCGGGATCAAAGCCAGGGATTCCCTGAGCACACACTTTGTGCTCCAAATGAAATTTGCATTGGTCCCGCTCCTGCCACTGTACCTTTTTAATATCCAGAGATTTTGTTGCTGCCAGTGACTTGAGTGGCTGATTGGGCCGGGATTTCTTGGGGAGCTGCGTGTTGGGGATGCAGGCATTTGATTTATTCTGGCGTCTTTTGGGAACAGGTGGGTCTGCAACACAGGAAGTAGGACTTCCCATGTCTGGAAGCGGAGCTTTGGGGGAACTGACAGAACAGCAGCTTTCGGGTCCCACGGTTGGCAGCAGGGCTTGCAGAGGGCTGTTGCTCACGTTGAATGTCCTTCGTCTGGGGGCCCTTGAGTCCTTCCTCACCGCATGCAAAGATTCAATGGAGGGCAAAGGTTCAAAATCTGGAACCATCTCAAGCCTCGTCTCAGAGCTGCCGTTCTCCTTCTCCAGCAGCTCACACCCCTCCATCAGTGCAGCCAGCCTGTTGGCTTCGCTCATCATCTCCTCTAGCTTTTCGGGACTCAGAGGGCTCCACAACAAGGCCTTGCCTTCACTCTCCCCCCCAAAAAAGTTCGTGTCAGTTGACTGGGCCGCACACCTTTCACTGGATTCTGCGGGGCAAATGCCAGAGACCTCCTCCTCCTCCTCTTGTCTGAAGCAAGAAAGTCAAAAATCAACAGGGAACCGCATTGGGCAAAATATACAAGCACTGTGCAAAAAGGAATGCAATGAGAGAGGCTTCCCATCCCACAGAAGAATTCAAAGCATCAGTTTTGGGATAAAATCTGAATAAAGCTTGTGAACGCTAGTGCTTTTTCTTTCTTTCTTTTTATCCATTTTTATTAAATTTTCCACTTTAACAATCCAATCAAATCACATTAAATATTCCAGATTATACATATACATATCAAATAATCTGAATATTCTGCCAAATTACAAATTTTTAATAGGACTTCCCATGCTTCAAGTTCGGAGGGTTCTGATCATCTCATACTTCTGAACGCTAGTGCTTCAAATGACTAGTCTTTGATTTCTGATTAGAAATGTATTATTTTATTAACACAGCAATCTGCAGGAGGTTGGACTAGATGACCCTTGGGTCCCTTCCAACTCTACAATTCTATGATTCTATGGCACTGGAAGGTTTGGATGTGGCCGGGGTGTCCTTCTGCCTAGCCCCAGCCAGCTGGCCTCAGCCTCTGCTGCTGGGAGAAGCCCCATCCAAGTGGGGAAGAGAAGCTGCCACTAGCTGCACCCCCCAAAGCCAGCACAAATCCCCAAAGCAGGGAGTTTTAGGAGCTGGACTGGGCTGGCACAGGGTCTGCTGGTTCCTGTTGGCAATGGACCTGATCCAGCCTCTTTGCTGAGTCAGCTGGCACAGCAAGCAGGCATTCTCTCCCCTCCCTTTCACCCTGGCTGGCGGAAGCAGCAGGGCTGTGGAAGTGGCAATGACTGAGTCACTCCATCAAGCCCCACCGCTGTGGGCCAGGATCTTGGACTGGCCCCTTATTGAGAAACAAAACTTATAGACTGCCCTTTACTTCAAAGTAATCACAGGGTGGTTTCCAACCAGGGCGGATAAAAATCAATTATTTTTTTAAATAATAATAATAATAATCAGATTTTTAAAATGTTTAAATTGGATTTTTTTAAAAAAATATAAATAAATCAGATTTTAAAAATAAAATGCTTTTGGAGGAAAAATGTTTCTAAAGATAGTTTTCTATTTAAGTTACATTATAGTCCAAAGGCTACTCATCAGGAAATAAGGATTTGTTTTAAGTTTTTCATGTGTGCTAAAACTCAGTAAGTCTTTTTTTATTATTAATGTTTAACCACATCAGTTAACAAACACGGATACATATGCTATAATGTTATTTTTTAGTTAAATACGTTGTTTAAATTGTTATTAAGGAAATGATTATTTTTCTCCTTCCAATAAAGTACAGCAGAAAAGTTGTCCAAATATAAACAATTAACTTATTAAACCTCACAATAATTTCATAATTATCTGTCTATGTATTTCTAATAGTATAATCAAACCAGTAATTTTTGATATAACTGTAAAAACTACTCTGAAAATTTATTATTCTAAAAATGAAACCTTCCTCTGCTTGTAAATATTAAGATACCAGCAAGAATGAGTCTTTCTGTAAAAAACAAACAAAAACGATGACTAGTGATTTAAATCAAGTCTTACTGACTAGTGATTTAAATTGATTTGATTTAAATCAAATCCACTCTGTTTCCAACATAGTGGGAGAGATTGAACGACATGCTATTCAAAGCTTCCCCGCATTCCTCCCCATGATCTGGGGGTTCTCCCAATCTGGAGGAGTGGATTTGGGCGAGTTGTGGGGGCCGTGGGGAGAAAGGCCTCACTGTGCTGGTGGGAGCCATTGTGGTGGCTTCTACAAGCACATTGGGTTGGATCTGGCCCAATAACTAAAATCATGATACCAATAAATTAACCCATACTAAAATACCCTTATATTACAGATAAAACAGCAGCCTATCAAACTGACTAAGGCTTTAGGTACCAGCTAGTACCAGAGTGACTTAAGTACAGTGGTGCCCCGCAAGACGAATGCCTCGCAAGACGAAAAACTCGCTAGACGAAAGGGTTTTCCGTTTTTTGAGTCGTTCCGCAAGACGAATTTCCCTATGGGCTTGCTTCGCAAGACGAAACGTCTTGCGAGTTCTTGCGAGTTTGTTTCCTTTTTCTTAAACTGCTAAGCCGTTAATAGCTGCTAAGCCGCTAAGCCGTTAATAGCCGCTAAGCTGCTAATAGCCACTAAGCCACTAATAGCCGTGCTTCGCAAGACGAAAAAACCGCAAGACGAAGAGACTCGCGGAACGGATTAATTTCGTCTTGCGAGGCACCACTGTATCTCTAAAACCTTGCGGGAATAAGTATCTTTCAACCAGGCATCGCAAGCTTCTCCAGGGAAAAGTGTGTTCTAAAGCAAGAAAGTGACTACAGTGATACTGTGGTTCCCAAACAGCTTGGCTCCTGAACAAATCAGCTCCCGAACGCCGCAAACCCAGAAGTGTTGTTCTGGCTTGCGAATGTTTTTGGGAAGCCAAACGTCCGTTTCAGGTGTCAGCATTGTTTCCAGGGCCAATCAGAAGCAACACCTTGGTTTGCAAACGTTTTGGAAGTCGAACGGACTTCCAGAACAGATTGAGTTTGGGAACCAAGGTACCACTGCACAGCAAAAGGATGCTGCACATTACATTTGGACCTACAGAAATTGTTTCCATCAGAACCTGCTTACAGATGTGCCACGTCATTCTGTTCCAGTATCTCCCTACAAATGGAATGGGGCAGGGCTTTCTACACAGGCGATTGAGACATTGATACATACTAGCAGTACAGACACACTTAAGCAAGCACTGCAGCATTGCTACAGATTCTGACAGACCTGCTTAATGAAGCCTTACAGTAGCTATTTACAGATTTGGGGGTGGGACAGGAGAAGTCGCCTGTGTACTGCCACATACCCCAATTTATATCACCAGGCATTAGATTTGTCAGTGAACCTTACCCGTCAAAAGAAGAAGACTGACTAAAATCCAGTCTCTCATCAATAATAAATTTTATATCTGGAGAAAAAGAATAAATCATTATTAATTATTACAAGTACTCACAGAGCCCTGACTACCTACCTGCTCATATTACCAACTTTAAGCAGGAATCACCACAGTTACCACCTCCATACAAGCCGGAATCCTCCCAATGAAAGGTAATTCCTGGCTTGCAGTAGAACTGAGGTTTTCTCAGTTAAAATGCTTGGGTATTGAAGATGCCGTTCCCAAAACTGTGTGGGGAATATTTTGCAGAACAGGGAATTAAAACACGTGTATATTCTCGATCCACTTCCCATTAATATGTACTGAGAATGGTAGAAAGCCAGAATACCGATGCTAAGGGTAGCTGAACTTGTACATCTAACAGCCTGGTCCTGTGCAGAATTAGATGCACCCAAGTTAACTGAAATCACTGGATTAGGTGCACCTAGTTCTATAGAAGATCTGGCAGCAAGATGTGACATAAAAATAATAAAACTCCACTTCCTCAAAATATTTCAGTTTACATGTAGCCCCTGCGTGCATAATATATATTTTTGGGTAGGGAGAAGATTGTTGATATAAAATTCAGAAATCAGTTGCTTTGGACCTAAGTAGTATACGCTGAACTAGTCAGAAACCAAAATCAATGCATCCAGTTAGAAAGTTGTGAGTAGCAATTCACACACACACAAAAACTAGGCCAAACCATGACTTAGCATGAATGAGCAAACATGAGCTGTTCCTTCAGTTCTGCTGCTCTGGGCTAAACCATACTTTGGCTTAGGCATTACATTCAAACCTTGAACAAAAGTTATAGCTCATGCTTTGTCTGGAGTGATACAAACTATGAGCTTGGATTCAGACCTAGTGTTAAGCCAAACCATAGCTTAGCCCTAAATTGGTGGCAGCAGCAGGACCAGGGAAGAGGTGAAGCAGCTGTGATCTTTGCTACAGGAACCCACACATTTGCTTGTTTGTAGTAAGTCATGGTTTGCCTTAGTGTTACATATGAATCATGTCACAGAGTGCATCCGATATTCTAGTGCTCACCTTCGTTTGGCCACTCCATGTTTTTCAGGAACCATCCTACATGAAAATAGCACGAGTTTGGGTTTGGCTTGATAAGTTTTGGGTTTGATTTGGTTTGTGAAATTTATGCTGCAAATTGGTTACCAGAAAGTGTTAACAAACAAACAGTGAAAGAAAGACAAATACAACATTTTTCTGTAGTTCATTACTAGAAACCTAATTTGGTACATTTTTTTTAGAAGCTGCAGATTTGTATTTTTCTCTCTGCATTTTCTCACCTGCTGTTCCTCTCCCTCCACTCCCCCTACTTCCCATATCCTATTTCCATTTGTAACCTACTTAGAAACAGCTTTCTGAATTGTAGCAAGGATAGCCTGGTTAGCAGCAATAACAGTCCTTATGGGATATAAGGTAGCTGTACCTCCGATACGCCTCTCTCCTCCGTCTCGAATCACCAGTGGCTTTTCTGGTTTTAAAGGGAGAGCAATCACCGGGCGTTCACTCCAACATTAAGTATGCAAAAGCACCTCCCATTGCCTTTGCAAATAAAGCCTTTTCCGGTCCTCTCTCCCTACGGGTTTGCTTTTTTGTGAGAAGTCTTAAAAAGATGAATTCCAAAGCATGCTCACTGTATGGTGGCTTTGCAGGTAGTCGTAATTAAAGGTATCCTGGATCCTTCCCGCCACAACTGAATAAAATGCAGATAGCAGTGCTGACATGAGGTGGGACGGGGCAATCAGCAATATCTGCTCATTTTTCCTTCCCCATTAATTCTGCAATGCAGCCCCATTGCCCGTGAGTTTAAGGTAGACGCCAGCATCCAGACTAACCAGCATCCGCCGCCACCAGGCAAAGTTTATCTCAGTCACCACATTCCTACTTGTCCCACTGCCTTGTTTCAGAAGTGCATTCGTCACTTATCTGCCCTAAGATTGGTAGCCAGAAAAGTTTGGGGCTTCTCCCGCTCAATGCCATAATGTTTTTAAACGCTGGCAAATACTTCTGTGTCGGGACCGATGTCTCTGATCTTCTCTCCTGCCTTAGTCAAACCACTGACGGGAGTTTGCTTTCTCCGAGGGACGCTTCATGCAAAGGTGCAAGGCGTTGCTGGCATTGCGCCGATTACTAAAGATGTGCTTCTTTGCTCAGAGGATTTAGGAGCCTCTGCTATTTGAATACCGGGTTTTACTGCTTCGTGGATGTTAACATGACATTTGGGTTGCTTTATTCTGTCGTGCACAGCATTCCTATCGTTTTAAGTAAAGGAGTCGAACGTTCTCTCTAAATAAGCCCCTCTGCGTTCAGTGAGGACTTCAGTTCCCAGATAAACGTGCACCGGATAGCAGCCCTAACTCCTGAGTAAAGTAAACATGCTTTTAGGACTGGGCTGTTAATGGGGAAAGAAAAAAGACGCAGCTGCTGATGGACGTGTTAGTTTTGCCCGAAAGCGGTTACAGGCAAGAATTCCGAATTGCGAGCCGCCCCCCCCCCCGCTCCGGCCCCAGAGAAATCCAGCGCCGCAGAACCCATTCACGTGCGGGCCCAGCCGCCATGCGACATGCAACTCCTTCCCGCCGGCGCGGGCATTTCCTCCCGCTCGCTCTCACCGCGAAGCTCCGGCGCTTTGGTAAGCGTTCAGAGGAGAAGCATAAACAAATTCGAATTTCCCCTCCCGCCTCGACGTCACAAAGACCCGCTTCGTTCCTGCGCGCTGATTGGCCCGAGGCTTGCGGGAACTTGTCCGCCGCGCCTCGGCCTTCGTTTCCCCGAGAGCGAGGGGACGGCATACGCTGCTGCACCGGAAGTGTGCTCTGCCAGCTTGGTTCCCCCGGCGGGAAGGTGTGTACGGCGTGCGTGAAGCATGGCTGCGGTGCCCCCCGATACGTGGCAGCCGCCCACTGTTTCTTTGGAGACTACGTGAGTGAGGGAAGGGCCCCGGCTCAGTGGTAAAGTAACGTCGCCCGGTAGGGCTGGGGAAGAGTCTGGGACCCGGAAGGCCAGTTAGCACAGATGACGCACATGAGTCGGAGGGACCCATGGTCTGACCCGGCACGAGGCAAGGCTGGTGTTTACATCAGCTGTCAAAAAGCTCATTTGCCTTCAGGTGATTTTTTCCCCCGGCCCGCCACTGAGAACTGATTTCCACATTGGCTAATTATATACTAGCTACCAAATTCTGCTTAATTTCTGCTTTCTCTCTCTCTCCAGAAACCTATGAGTGTTTCAACAAAGGGACAATCAATTACAAATATGTATTTAAAAAGGGATGGTGACAAAGCTGGTTGAACAGCTAGTTCTTGTGCTTGGAGAGATACAGAAACATATTATGCTTCTTATTCCCCGCATATGTACAAATCGCATAATCTCTGATCACTGGCCAGGCAGCCATGGGGACGATAGGAGTTGGAATCCAGTGCCTGGAGACCTATAGGTTCCCTATTCCTCCTTTTTATGCTTCTCTGCCTTTTGTATATTTATGATGGGCAGAAGCTCAAGGGGCAATCTTCAGTCACCCTTGGGTAACCATCAGATTAGATCACCATAGTGTATTATAATTGGGGCTGCCACTGAAGATGATTGAGAAACTGGTGAAAGTTCAAAATACAGCTACAAGATTGCTACTGAGACCAGGCTTTGTGATCATGTTACATCCCTGCTTTGTCAACTGCACTGACTCCTTATAGGCCCAGTTTAAAATGCTGGTTTTGACTTTAAACACCTTCCTGGTACCTGAATGATTGTCTGTCTCTGTGTTTCTGACCAGCCAGTGCAGCTACATCAGCACCCTGGTCCCACTGACCAAGGATATATTGTCAGTTCACACAGAGGAGGAGGAACAAGACTACATGGACTGTTTCTGCCAGAGGGCCCTACTGACCCTATCAAATGTGGAGTTCCTGTGTCATCTAGGGTGTGGCTGGTGGATACCAATAGTGGCAACTGATCTGTATATCCCCCCCCCCCTAAATAGGGTGATCTTAGTGCCCTCCTTGATATCATTTCAGTGTTATGCAAAGACCTCCCACTTTCACAGTTTTTTTAAAAAAATCTAAGCTGTTTATCTTCATCAGGTTTTAAAGCTGCTATTCTTAATGTTTTGCATCTTGATTAGAAAACAAACCTGATAAAATTGATAGATTGTAATATGAAGACACACTCTTGTGGTTTTTCACCTCGATGTCATTGAATCAATGTGATGTACCATATGTGTTTGGAATCCTCCTCTGCCTGTGTTTTGCAGAATGGGCATCATTGTTGTGGAGCTATACTGGAAACATGCACCAAAAACTTGTAAAAATTTTGCTGAACTGGCCAGACGAGGTTACTACAATGGCACAAAGTTTCATCGGATAATCAAGGACTTCATGATTCAAGGGGGTGATCCAACAGGAACTGGTAAGAATATATTCAAAGTACCTGCTTCAGATACTGTGTTAATCAGTGCTGATGCAAACTAATGTGAATAGTAAAGGTGATGTTAGGATAGTAGATCTTGCAATCATCACCACCATCATCATCATCCCCCCAAATCCTGCATAGTTCTCATGTTATGTTCTGCAAGAATGGGAGAACACATTTATCACACTTGGTGAGGCCAAATGACCCCCTGCTGTAAGATAACATAAAGATTTTTGACTTAACAGATGGCTACTCTCCCTTTACTCAGGAGCATTATGGTGATATCCATTAATAGTCAGCACTTCCTCTCTTACCAGTAAAATAAAAGGAGATCATAAATAAATCTTGCTGGTCTGGTACTGCACATTCACAAGGAACTTTCAGTATACCTCTGTCCCATCTGTGACTTTGCAGATTGATTTACCTAGTCTTGTTCTAATGACAGGAAGAGGAGGCGCATCCATTTATGGCAAGCAATTTGAAGATGAACTCCATCCAGAACTAAAGTTTACAGGTAGGTAATCTTTTCAGAGGTGCTTTGAGTTCTTCAGGCCAAGTCTGTCACCACCTGCATATGGCAGTTTCCAAGCTTACAGATGTAAAGTTGCTTTCTGTGCAAGAGCTTCAGGGTCATGATGGTTGGCAGAATGGATTCCCCTATTCTCTACCCCCCCTTTCCACACTCCCATAATCTGCTCTAGAAGATTGGGGGAGTGCAGGAGACTCGAGTGGGGAGGAGAGGAACAGAGAGTGCTCTTGTGCAAGCAGAAATCTACTTGCAGTGTTAGATATCACCCTCAGGACCTGTAAGACTGGCTTGAATCTTAAGTCAGTAAAACTTGGCATCTAAATCTGTTAACTGCTTATGCTATATAATCATGTATCATTAGGTTTCCACTTTGCATATGAAAAATCATTTTTGGAAAAAAATCATTTACCGGTAGTTATTGGTTTGTGTACAGGAGCAGGAAGGAGATTAAACTGTCCTCATCACAAAGTATAGCTTACATTCTTTTCCCATATTGTTGTTGTAAGAAATGGGCTTCTGTGTTCAAGTGTATACACCTTACACACACACCACATACATTTCCTAGCAGCCTTAATTTAGAAGTGAAATCTTCATCCAAATGGATTTTCCAAGGAAAGTGAATAGGTGGACAGTGGTGTGTATGTTGGGCAGGGGAGATGGGAACCATCTGAGCCAGCTGGGATGCATGAGCAGTCTTTCATTCACTATAGAGAAGTTCCATTGATCTCATAGAGCAGAGGTGGCTAACCTATGGCACTCCAGATGTTGTTGGATCATCTTCCATTAGTCCTAGCCAGCATGGCCAGTGCTCAGGCATGCTAGAAGTTGCAGTACAGCAATGCCTGGAGATGTGCAGGTTAGGCACCTCTGTCACAAAGTCCTGATCACTTCTAAGGATGGGCGTAACATTTAAAAAAACCAAGGTTTTCCCTTTTACTTTGTCTGTATTTAGGTACCTTTAGACTCCTGAGCCAATTTTAACATAAGATTTTCTTCTCTAGGTGCAGGAATTCTTGCTATGGCAAATGCAGGCCCTGACACCAACGGAAGCCAATTCTTTATCACGTTAGCACCAACTCAATGGCTTGATGGGAAGCACACTATATTTGGACGTATTTGCCAAGGAATTGGCATAGTCAACAGAGTGGGCATGGTGGAAACCAATGCACAAGATCGTCCAGTAGATGATGTCAAGCTCTTGAAGGTTTTCCCTTCAGGCTAAACGAGATTTGAGAATTTTGTGTTGAATCTAATGGTATTCCATTGTGTTTGGTCTCTTAAGATGATAATTGTTTTGTTCTGAAAGATACTTGCTAGTTTTTTAGGTGCAGGATACTCCTGTATTAAAATGTGTCTTCTAAAATTATCATTAACATTTCTTCAAAAATGTAAAGCTAAATTTATCAAGAAATAATTTGACCTATTTGAACAGGGCCTGTACCACCAAATTACAGTGCTGTTGCTTTCTAAGCTTTATTCTCTCCCACCCCCAGCGTCCACTTAGAGTGCAGCAATCCATCTGTATTGTAAACAAACCACCTTAAATGCACCAGAAATAAGACAATATATAGTATTTTGTAAGTCATCAGAATTGCATATTGGGTCATGGGTGTCTGTGTGGGTCTCAAGGCAGCGCTGCCCTAGACTTCCAAGTATACCTTTTACAAGTTGCACAATTGAAAATCTGTACCTAAACAAACAACCCCCCTCATCCGCATGACTATTAAAGTATAAGCACTCTAATCTTGAAAAGCCCCAAAATTTGGGATCCCCTCCAAACCGGTGCCAAAGTTTTGCAGTCGTTTTGCATCACAAACCCTGTTTGTGGAAGCGCCCCCCAAATTGATACATCAAACCAGGGGTCCTTGCAAAACAACTGCACCAGTTTGGAGGGAACCCAAAATTCCAGGGTTAGTGTTTGTTCTCAAGATAATACTGAGGGCAGAATCCAGCACTGCTTGTGTGGACTTTCACGGGTGTAGATGGACTTCAGCTTTTCTTCCTGCCATGCAACCCCAAAATCTGCTCTTTCCAGAGCCAAATTTGAGGGTGTAGGGAACTGCAGGGGGAGAAGAGTAAGGTGGAGTCCTGCTGTATGAGTAGAAATCTCTTCCATTTGTGCACGAACAACATTAGATACAACCTAACCAAATATTTCAATTTATTCTGGCAAAAAGTAGCTCCAAGTAGTGCATTTTCTAGCATAGATTTGCGGCAGTGAAGTTCCGACTTCAAATCATACTTGGTACCATCAGTTTCCACAGGCACAAAATTATTTTTCTAAAGTTATAACAGCTATGTAGAGGGTAATGCTAACTGATTCTAAAGTATTGCTCTATATAATGATGATACTTTAGGAAAACCTTACTCCTTTCTCAGCACCTAGCAATTGTATGCAGTTCCCTGAATATGCTCTCAATTCCTCAAGAGCTCCACTGTTGGTGTCTTCTCTCATTTCTGCAGAAAACTTTTATTTAGAAGCTTCACATAGTGAATCTTTCGCATGGGCCTGTTCATCCAGGAATTCTGTTCAGCATGGAAGAATCCCGGCTTAGGGGTGAGATTGATGGATGCGGCTCTCCCATATCCATTCAATTGCCAGGAGAGAAAACAGATACATTCCCTTTACATTCCGAATGAAGGCAATTTTTTCCCCCAGGCTAGGAAGATCAAAGTAATCCATGGAGCTCAGTTCCTCCCTGGAGCTGGATTAGCCCATGTCAGCACACAGTTTCTGTGGCACCCTGTTGCCTTCAAAGGCAGAAGGCTCTGGGTTACATCTGCCTGTGTTTCTTTAATGAGAGCTTGGGAGTAAGATTTAGCATTTTATGATCTGCACACAAATTAACTCTGTTCAAGGGCAGCAAGATGAACTTAGGGTAGGACAAAAGGATGCAAACAGCCCCATCAGTATAACTTCCATGATTCCAGCTGCTCTGGCAAAGGGCGCATTCCTTTGGCTGCTACCAGCCCCTATTCTGGAGCCCATGGCTTCCTACTTAATTGGCACTGTCAGAGCTGCTTTTGAACATAACCTTGTTTTCAGGCATTGGGTTTCTTTGGCCCAGCTCTAGGTGGCTAGATGCAGTTGTATGCCCTTGATCTTGGCATGTGAGCAATTTTCCCACAGTAGACAACATCAATCAACTTCAAGAGCCAGAGTCGCTATGTGATTGGAATAGTAGTGTAATGAGGCATATAGCTTACTTAGTTTTCTGAGAATGGGGCATAACAGAACACTTAACCCATGGCTGTTGCGGTTGCTCAGGGCACAAAGAGTCTGCTAGTGAGGGGGTGGGACTTTGTCTATGAAAGCCCCATAATATATGCAAGAATGCCATGCTAACCACTAGCCCATGTTAGGCAACTGAGTTGATGTTGTTCTGTTACATGGCCCCTCCCAAAATGATTTCAGCAGATCACATAACCATTATATACCCATGTTCAAAACACAGAAGGCTGTAAATGGTCATTCTTTTCCTAGTAATCAGATTCCCAGGAATCAGATTCACATCGTTGGCAATCACTTATTACATGGTTAAAAGGCTTGAAAAATGCCATAAAATTGTTTCTCAAAAAGGGCAAGATTTCATGCCTTCATGGAAAAGTCCAGTGGTTATGTTGCATCATTGATCTGGGAAGCAGACTTTCATGAGCAATATTAACGAACTGATTTATACTGGCATCAATGCATCTCTTGATCTAAGCAAGGTATGCCTTGTTTAAATGTTTTGTGTCCTACACAATAAATTTGATCCCTTCCACTTCTTTAGGGGCTGCCTCTGGCAACTCAAGTGTTATTTGAATGCATTTTTATAACCAAATAAAATATTTTGTAAGTATTTATACATCCATCTCAGTTCTGTTTTTTTATTATCTTTACTTTAAAGTGCAATTGTTAATCTATATTTGAGTGGGGATTTGAACCCTGGTCTCCCAGGTCCTAGCCCAACTCTCTAACCACTACACCACACAGGCTCTCCGTAGCACCCCCTTTCCCAGAGGTTTCATGCTCTCCAGCTCCCCATGTACCTTGGTTACACTTTCTAGAATTCTACTTCCTCTCCTCTCTCTGCATGTATATAATAAATGCTAATTATTAGTAATTGGTGGGACATTATGTGTAATCTCTGCAGCTTTCTTCTCAATCATCTCCGGTATTCTTCTGAAGATTATGAGAATCTTCTTATGGCTTCTGCCTGAGAAGGCTAAACATTTCACGGTGCTGGTTGAACTTTCCCCACCCGCCAGCAACGTGAGCTTGGTGGCTCATGAACTTCACTGTCAGATTAAGCAGACCAGTTGGCACAATTTCAGGCAAGCCAGCCTGGGTGCTCTGCACTCTTTTTAGCCTTTCTGATTTACAGTTTCCAAGTCGGTATCAGAGTTAGGCTGTATTAAGTTTGCTTGCTGCTGCTAGGTGCTGTTCACTTCCCTGAGGCCCTGGGTTTGATATCCTTCGATAGAGAAATCAGTTGGGTTTCATGGTAGTGCCTGTGGTGGCAAGCAGCAGGGGGGCAGGGGGAACACTCTGGGCAAAGATCCCCTACCCCACATCAGGTTCCCAGAGAAAGAGGGGACCTTCCACCCCACTAAGCACTTTCAGCCATTACTCAGCTACAATCTCTGCTTCGAAACACACATGCATTTGTTCACCTACCTTGCATCACTTAGATTGGGATGGGAGAAGTTACCATCAATGTTCTTCCAGCCTACCTATGAGATAATCTCTGTAGGGGAAACCTATTGCTAAAGAATGTTGCCTGTTGAGCAGGTGGGTCAATTGGCTGCTTCCTCCTTGCTTATTGGCACATCCTCAAGGGTAGTGAATTCTCAAGGGCTTTTGGTTTGCTTTCATGTCTTGATTTGCTGTTTGTGCTTCAGGGATGAATGCTAGCAGGCTGTGGGAGGATCTGCTTTTGGGCTGGCTGAAAGCTGAGTGCTTGTCAGCAGTAGGACAGCAAGATTAATTAACTATACTAGCTCCGTCTGTTAGCTTAAGGTCACCTGGCAGGTGATGTACCATCCCTCACACTACCTCAGTAATTGCTTCTAGAACAGGTGTGAGACATTTGGATACCAGGCCAGTCAGGACTAAGGGTCTAAGGTACATAAATCTCTCTGATGGATCTGACTTTTGAGCTTCAACATCAACCCAGACCAGGAGGGTGCTGTGTACGGGGCAGCCAGAGTCTGCTCTCATTCCCTGGAGCTCCTGAGAACTGAAGGGGTATTTTATCTTCTTTATGCTATTGTTATTCTGCTTGAAGACAGCTTTTCATTCTGCGTTCAAGCCTGATACGTATAAAAGTACCGAACTTCTCTCCACTAGGGTTATTAATGCAACAGAATCCAAAAGAACTATTGCATTTTGCAAAACCATCTCCAACTATTTCCCAACCATTAGCTCCCATTAATGAAATGTATACCAATCTGGGCTATTAACAATCTTGCTTTAGAAGGGGTGGGTTGCCCAATAACTGCAACAGTATTTTGTGCTTATTTTAACAGTATGTTGTGTTTAGTTCCCATCGTTCTGCATTGGTGATATGTAGAAGAAACTCCCCACCATACCTATCCTGGTGTTGCAACATCTTTAGCCGGCCCCTAGGCGGCAGTCTTATTCCACAGCTATTCTTCCAAATGGACTGGCAAGATAATGCTGGATATTTTACTAGTGGCCGTCATGTGGAGCTAGAACTATGCAAGCAGGTGCTCAGAAGTAGGAAATGCAAGCAGATTCACTGAATTGTTCAGGGCTGAAGCGGTTAAAGGTTTAAATTGGACTACCTTGGCATTTCAAAAGGTATATAGGCAGGGCCAACCCAAGACATGGTGGCACTTGAGGTGAACCAAAAAACGGCACACGCCCTCCCCACCAGGGAAGAAGGAGTGAGTGAAGATCTGCATCAGGCATAAGATCTGCATTGGCATCTGATGCCCCTGTGGAATCTGCTGCCCAAGCTGGTTGCCTCACCTTGCCTCCTGGGTGAGCTGGCCCTGGGTATAGGCAGAACCTCTCCAGGATTTAATTTACAATACTTTTTTAAAAACTGTGATGTGAAGTGTATCAGCACTGCCTGGTAATCAAAGGCTTTTCACATTATGTCTTCACATTATGCACCTGAAAATCTCCAGTTACTCCCCCCCCAAAAAAATAAATTAATCTCAGATTTAAAGGTTAAAATCTTCATAATTTATCACAGAGAAGTGCAGCATCTCTTTCAGGTCATTCCTGGGTTTCACATATGCATCAGTGGACTGATTCAAAACGCTCTGGTTTCCCAGATTATACACGTACAACCATGACTAGGGACGACGGAGAAATTCCATTTTGTTTGCATTTTAATGAGAAACTATCTAATTCACGCTTCTTGAAACAGTATGCCAACCGAAACACAATTATCCTTAGGAATGTGCACTTCTCCGAATTCTGTGATGCAGTTTTCCAACCAGCCAGGGATTGTTCCATCAGGGAAAGGATCTTGACTTGTCAGATGAAGCCAACCCTCCCCTCTTTCCCCCACATTCTGTTCTGGAGGTTCCCCTGAGCCTCCACTGCAGAAGAGAAAATCCTTCTGAAGGGCTTCCGCTGACAGGACTCATTAGTTGGATCATACCCAATGTGTGTGGAAATAATAGATGAGGGGAAACGTGTACAAAAATGCACATGTTAGTGAAAATATTAAAATCTGCATCATATTAGGAAGGAAAGCTTGCAAATATTGGGAGAAATTTGTACTAAAATGATATTCTTTTTTTAAAAAAAAAAAAGCTTCACAAAATGCAGAAAAACAAATGTGGAAAAATGAGAAATGGAAAGAAACCAAAACTGACAGACTGAATTTGATGACAGTATATTATTTTATCATATTTATTAATCACATTTATATCCCACTTTTTTCTCCAAGGAGCTTGGGGTGGTATAAAAGGTTCTCCTTCTCCTCATTTAATCCCCATATCACTGCAGTGAGGTAGGTTAGACTGGCTGCTCCAAAGTCACCCAGTGACTTCATAGCCGAGAGGTTTTGAACCCTCACCTTCCAGGTCCTGCTCCTGACACAATACCACATTGGCTTGGTTCTTTGGGATGAATTGTGAAGTCGGGGTGGGGGGAGAGCTCAACAGAGAGAACAAGAGGGAGAAAAATGCTTTCTGAAAATCGTGTTTCATTTTTCTCAAGTTACCCCTTCACTCTCCCAGATGTTTTATTACATTCTTCAGTGTCATGAGCTGGGAGGAAACATTATTTTTTAACATGGTTTGTTTTCTCCTTCCATAAGAAAAGCTTTTGAGGGGCTGCACTGATCTTTCCAGATGATCAATCTGCAATCGGTTTTAAAAGAGAAAAGCAATCTTAAAGTTTACCTGAAAGCAGCTTGGTTAGTGTATGGATGGAGCTGGCTGCCTAGTAACTGTGGGGTTACTGTGGCTTTGTTTTCCTGGTGCATAAGGCATACTGTAATTTAAGAAAGCTCAAGGCAGCTGCCTCTTTTGACTACTTGAGTTTTCCAGGATTGACTGGTCACAAAATGGGCAACTTCTCCACCCTTATTTGCTGTGGGATGAAATAAGGTTCACCCCATTTTGCCACCTGAGGCAAAACAGGAAGGTGTACCCCACCCCACCCCCTGTGAAGGAAAGGAAATAAACATCTATCTGACTTTTAGTCATCTGTACAGGGAGTTTTTAATGTTTGAGGTTTTATTGTGTTTTTCATATTTTGTTGGGAGCCACCCAGAGTGGCTGGGGCAACCCAGTCAGGTGGGGAGCAATAATAACATTGTTGTTGTTGAGATCTCACTGGAATCCAGAACCCACCACTCCTTCTACTAGTTTCTCTGGTAGGGCCGGGTGGGGGCACAAGGGGCACCTGTGGGGGCACCACCCTATGGATTCCACCGCCCCAGGAGGCTGTCTCAGTTTACCTCATAGGTAGGCTGTCCCTGCTTTGCTTCAGTAGGTTTGGTGGGAGACAGTTTAAGATTCCTCAGGGACTCTGGGAAATGCAGCACTGGTCTAAGCAATAGGAGGGGGGGAATGATGCCAGCTCCTGGACTGATATAGCCATCGGCCTGTTTGGAAGCTGTGGGGTGGGTGATGCTCATCAAAGAAAGCACATAAGATTTAGGGAATCACAACTGGTTCAGTTGCACTGGGCGTGGAGCCGGGGGGGGGGCAACTATGATTTACATTGGAGCACGAGAGTTGGAGTGTTGCTGAATTTTGGCGTCACATTGGGGCACCACTGAAATTTGAGACCCCAAGATCCTCCTCTGAAGAGAGAGAAGGCTTAGGATCTTGTGCGTGTGTTACCATTCCTGGAATACCATCTGGTTTGTTTTTGGCCCACTGCTGGTGGAGCCCCTCTGCACCAGGAAAGCCTCCAGGGACAGATCTTTTGCTCCACTGGCGCAGAGAGAGGTCTTCCATATCAAATGCCCCTTCAGCTTCTCCCTTACTGATGTCTTCAGATGGTCCATGTTGTTCTTAAGGCAATTGACTGAGGAACCTTTAAAGATCAATTTGATTGCTGGACTTTTTTTTAAGGATTAGATTTTAGTGTATTTTCTGAGCACACTGCTGCATTCCATGCAAACAGGACTTAATTGCTGTTTTTACTTCTACTGAGAGCAAATAATATATATTCACACTATCTGAAAATAGTTTTGCTTAGACATTTCCTGCCTTATTTTCCAAATCAGTTGCTTGCTGAATGCATTTGTCGTGTCATCCCTTGCACCATATAATAGAAACTCGTTTCGGAAACAATTGTGTATCCCCTCACAATAAATCCCAGTGCTAAAATCACCATATCCTGGTCTTATCAAGCTGACTCAAATTAAAT